TACACTAATCCATCGTGGGCAGAGCTGTGAAATGGCACAACTCTTTTGGAAAGCAATTTGAAATTATGCAAACAAGTGACTAAAATGGCCCTACCTTTTAAATCAGAGACTCCATTACTGGGCTTATACCCCAAGGAAGCCGTCGATAAGGGAAAAGTCCCATTGTACTCCAAAATACTTATAGCAGCACTTTTTGTGATAGCTAAGAATTGGAAATGAAGCAAATGCCCATCATTCGGGGAATAGCTAAACAAATTGTGGTACATGAATATAACAGACTGTTACTAGACTGTACAAAATTCCATGTATGAAGAATACAGAGAAGCAAGATTTGTATAAATTGATGCAGAGTGAAACATGAAGAATCAAGAAAACAAAATCCATGACTACAATATAAACAGAAAGAACAATGACACACTACAGAGTCAAACTAAAATGTAACAGAATTATAAAGATCAAGCAAGGCTTGAATGAACAGATATGAGAAGACACCCCCAACCTACCTTTGTGGGAGCGGCAAGTTCACAGCTGTCCCACATGGCACATGTTTTCTGACTTTTTCTTTGTATCTTTAAGTTATGTTGGTCATTTTTCCCCCTTTCTAAAAAGTACTATTTGTCATATGAGAGGTCTCTCTGGGAAGGGAAGAGGGAAGGATACTCGGGATAACCATGGTGCTGTAAAAAACAGAAAATATCAACAAAAATGTTTTTAAAAAGAAATAGTAAATTCAGAAAAGTTTCAGGATATAAAATAAATTCATATAAATCATCAGCATTCCTCAGCCCAGATGTCATATTTAAAGAAATTATGAAGGAAACTTGCCCAGATCTATCAAAAATAGCAGGCAAAGTGAAAATAGAAACAATCTACCAGTCACCTCTTGAAATGAACCTCTAAGCTAAAATCCCCAGGAACACTATAGCCAATATCAAGTTTCCTGATTAAATTAAGAAAAAAAAATCTGCAAGCAGCTATTGTGAAAGAGTTCGGGTAATGAGCAGTCATAGTCGGGATCACACAAGATTTGGCAGCTACTACTATAAAGAAGCAAAGTTTGGAAAGCAATAATCTGAGAGGAAAAAGATATAGGCTTACAACCAAAAATTACTTACATATTAAAAAAAGAGTAGACTTCTACAGGGTTAAGAATAGACTTTTGGGAAATAGAGGACTTTTAAGCTATCCTGAGGGAAAGGCCAGAGCTGAGCAGAAGCTCAAACACAAGAATCAAGATACTTATAAAAAAGGAAATTTTCTGAGCAGTAAGAAGGGTGAAGGAAGCAACGTCTACAAGAAATGAAGGCTGAAGCCAAAATCCTCTCCCCTCCCCACACCCACCAGGAACTCCTCCTGAAGGGCGTTCACTGGAGCAAATGTTTGGATTTCTGGAATGACCCCAGTTCTAAAATAGCTTGAAAATTTGTAAAAGACTCCCACAGTCTGACCAGGTTTCCTCAGTCTACCTAATACTCTCCCTGCATAATTCTACTCTAATTCCAAGTACTTTCCACTCTTAGGCTAAAGCTATGATTGATTGAGGCATGCTTTTAAGGGATCAGATTGTCTTTAAGTGGGGTGGGGTGACCTGACTGAGTAAATCACCCTCTAATGTAATGGGTCTTCAGAAGGCAGGGAATGATTTCTCTTGAGGCTGTTTAAGAGGCCTGTGGGTCATTCAGTGGAGGTGTTTGTCCAGCATGGAGCTGGGACTCGAAAAAGAAGAGATAGAACCATGGTGGGGTCATCTCCACTGAGATGACCACTGAATTTTGGGATCTGGTCAGAAAATCTTCACTGACACAAGAGTATATCTCAAAGGTGGGATTCCACTCCTAGTGTCTGGGGGCTCCACAGCCTACTCTTTACAGAATCAAGCTCCTTCACTGATAACGAAGACACAACTTAGGGAAGAGCACCCAGACAGGCTTCCTGGAGGAGGCGGCCCTTAAGCCTAGCCTGGAAAGGAGAGCACGACCTCGAGGGGGAAGGGAGGAGAGAGTTCATTTCAGGCAGGGAGCCCGGGTCTTCGAGAACCAGCTGGGAACTCCCGAGGGGACCAGCAGGAGGCGCTGGCGTCCTGGAGGGGGGGGTCTTCATGATCTCACAGTGAAATGGGACACACTACAGCATTGTGTCTACATCCTTGTAGTATGGTCCTACGGAGCATGCGCACAAGGTAACCCTGGCCTCCGAACTACGACACCCAGAAGTCCTTGCGGCAGATGAAGAAAAAGACCTTTTGTTGTCCCATAACTTCCTGTACCGGAAGTGCTCGCTACACCGGAAGTTGCCCTTTTCCCGGTTATGTGGCCGCCATGGCCTGGCGCGCGCTCGGGGCGGACCGCGGGGGACCCTGGGGCGGGAGCGAGTGAGGTAGGTCCGGGGGCCAGGGGCCCGTCGTGCTCGGCCCGGGCCTCCCCTCCGCGCTCCGTGTTCGAGTTCTGCCTCAGGAGGGGATGCCCCCGGACTGGCCAAGCCTCAGTTTACTCCTCTGTGGAATGAGGGCGTAGCTGCCCCTGAGGGTCACGTGGGGCGGCTCCAGTCACGTGATGTGGACTTTTGGCTCTGGGCTCAGGAATCCCTAATAACAATAGTTATCCTTATTATATTACTATTGTATAATATATGTTATATTATTAATAATAATAACAACGTGTTCAGCACCTACTGTGTGCCAGGCACTGTGCTAAGAGCTTGACATCATCA